TTTTTTTTTTGAGGCCTATCAAGTCTAATCTGTGTCTTCCAAATTCTCCTGGGTGTGGGTTTATCCCTTGGAGTCTGGTCAACCTACCAGGTGTCAAAATGGAATTCAATTCTGTTCTTTTAAAAGGCTGAGGTCTGGGTATGAAGCTTGGTGCTAGAAGGTTTGCCTAACACAAAGTTTTCTGTTCAAGTTCCAGAACAGAAAACATTTCATAAAAGGAACAGTTATATTTATTCTATATGTAGAAAAGAGCCAGTTCTTTGACTATAAAATAGTGCAGCAACTCTGCCCCCATGGGCTACGAGGCTGAAGGCAGAAAACAGGCTTCCATGTGAGTCACTGGCCCTCCCTGTTTGAGAACTTTTCTGATGTCAGTTAGACAGGAATACAAGTTCTCCCATTTCACTCTTGTTCCCCAATTATCAGCTGAGGTAAAAATGCCAAAGCAGGCATTCCTCACCTAGTGTATGAACAGTGGTCAGCATATACTGAAGTTGAGCTAACACAGGAAACATTTTAATTTATATTTTAAAATTTTTATTTATTAGTGTGTGTGTGTGTGTGTGTGTGTGTGTGTGTGTGTGTGTGTGATGCGTGTATGACTGCAGATGTTCATGTATGTGCTCATGTGGCGGTTAGAAGATAACTTTCAGGAGTCAGTTTTCTACTTCTACCGTGGGTTCAGGTGATCAAACTTAGATTTTTTGGCTTACATGGCAAGTATTTTTACCCATTGAGCCATCTTGCTGGCCTGGAAAATCTTTTAAACTTGGATTACCAAAAAAAATATTTGAGGTTGATGACTTTGGTATTTTTTTGTTGGTGGTGATTTTTTGTTTCTTTTCTGTTTGTTTTTTGTTTTGTTTTGTTTTGTTTTGTTTTGGGGGGCAGTGGATGGTGTTGTTTTGCTTTGTTTTATTTTGTTTGTTTGTTGAGATGGGGTCTCCCTGTGGACCCAGCTGGCCTGGAACACGCTATGTAAACCAGGCGGGCCCCAGTTTCACAGAGATCTTTCTGCCTCTGCCTCTCAGGTGCTGGGATTAAAGGCATGTGCCACCATGCCCAGCTCAGGTCAATGACTATAAAACATGTTTAAATGCTCTTATAATTAGTAAGGGGGTTAATACTCGGCTGTTGCAGACATACTGAAAAAGACTTAATATCTAAAGAAAAAAATATCTTGAAAGCCCCAGCCATCCAGGTGATTTTGAAGCTTGTTCCTTGAAGCTTTTGGTGGTAGTCCTTCTTTAGCGCTGCTAAAGGACACTGCTGCTCTCCATGGCGGACAGCTGTTAAGTGGCCTCAGACTACAGTCACTTCAAAAGTGACACACTCTCTCTGTCATTTTGCTACTCAGCCTGATGTGGACAAGGCAGTGGTGGCCGCTCAAGCTGCCTTCCAGCGGGGTTCCCCATGGCGTAGGCTGGATGCCCTGAGCCGTGGCCAGTTGCTACACCAGCTGGCTGATCTTGTGGAGAGAGACCGCACCATCCTGGCAGTAAGTACAGGCACAGGGCAGGCATGGGAGTACCGACCTCACTGTCCCCCTCACTGAGGGACCTGTCACCATAGGGTGTGGCCAGAAACTGGGATACTTGTTTTGTATGGCTGTGGATCTGTTTGGTCCTTGGAGGTGGGTAGCAGTGTGCATGCCCTGACTTTATCCTTTTCATCTTAAAGCCAGACTTTTGCCCCTGCAGCTCAGCTTCTTGGCCAGTTGTCTAAGGGAAGTCCAGCCACTACAGTGGTTCCCAGACTAGGGACAGACATCATCAGGGACTCGGCTTCACCTGGGCATTTATGCATTAGCTTTTTATTCTTTTTCACATTAACTTTGTAACTTCCTTGTAAACATAAATCTAACCTCATTATAAGTATGATAGTCTCCCCTTATCTAAGGTTTTAGTTATTCAGAATAACTGTTCGAATATATTAAATGGAAAATTTCTGAAGTAAGAAATTGGCCTTTTATTGGAGTAAGTTGTTATAATTGTTCTTTTTTTATTATTGGTTATTACTTCTAATCCCTTACTGTGACTGGCTTATAAGCTTAGCTTTATTGTGGGTACTCAGTATAGGAAAAATATGGCATGTATTTAGGGGTTGGCGCCACCTGTAGTTTCAGGGGTCATGGAATATGTGTGAAATCACAGGTTTAATGCCAATTGTGGTTTTTTTAACTTATTAAAATAAATGACACTGTTTATAAAAAAAAAATGGAATCCCTGCCTAAACGGATTCCTGCATCACCCTGAACTGGACAGTGGTGAACGCATGCAGAATGCTCACCATGAAGTATAGGAAACCTCAGAGCAGGCAGGAAAGGTCTGAGTTCAAATCCCAGCTTTGCCACTTTTACTAGCTATGTGCATTTGGACAATTTTCTTAACCTGCCTGAAGTTTATTTCTTTGGGTAAATGTCTCAACTAATAATATCTAAGTGTTAGGAAAATGATCTATTTAAAATCCTTAGCAGAGATCCTAACGTATACTGAGTGCCAACAGTGATAATTATTATCAAAAACAGTGGTTAACCGTGCTGATGCTACTGAGCCCCTAGGCTCTCCCCGGATGCATGGCCCCACCCCTTGGATTGGCCAGTGGTTTTTAGAAAACTTTAGTTCTTCAACTGTGAAAAGGGGATATTAATGCAGCCCAGCCAGGTGTGAAGAGGGAGGCCATGGGGCTGGGAGGGCTGTAAGTTGTGTGTTCTTCAAGAAGATTTAAGCTTTCTGAAGGTTCCTTGGTCCTGAGGTTCATTCCAGATGATATCTCTGGACAACAGAGAATCTGGTTTCTAAAAAAATTATTTATTATTATTATTATTATTGTTGTTGTTGTTGTTGTTGTTGTTGTGTGTACACTTGCTGGAGAACACATGTGGAGGTCAGAAGACAACTTTCAAGAGCCTGTTCTCTCCTTCCATCGTCTGTGTCCCAGGAATTGGACTCAAGTCCTCAGGCTTGGCAGCATGCACCTTTACCTGATGAGCCATCTCAAGCTCCTAGGGGGTCTTGCGATCACTGCAGCCTGCACATCCAGCCCTTATACAGCTCAACTTCCTGGTTGAAAATTTGTTCCAAACTTTGAGGTCCAGTTTGTAGGAGGAGATATCTCCCTTTTAGTCTTTGATTTAGAAAAATGGTTTTTCTAATGTTGAGAGCCAGGAGAAGAATAGCCACCCTTTTAAGGGACAGTGTCAGCCAGGACACTGTGTTGCTTTTGACTTTGAAGGTGCTCTCTGAGGGTAGAGGAATACTCCCTGAGAGGGGTCTACAGAGACCCCCAGCTTCCTTCCTTCAAGTTTCCAGGCCACGCATTCACAGTAATGAATCTGGGTGAGGGTAGTTCCCTCCCAGGGCAAGCACCTCACAGAGCCTCTGGTTTCCTCCTGCACTGAAAGCTACCACAACTTTCAAGCTGCCAAACTGGCTTTTTCTAAAACATTTCTGTTTTCCCCCACATGAGCTCATCGGTCTGCAATGTCCAGGAGGACTAATAGCAGGATCGAGAGGATGTGCCTTGGGCAACCCTCCCCACCCTGTCCTTGATGGCAGTGTCATCAGTGGTGCAAGGCCAACCTTCTCTCCAGTCTGCCCCGTGGTCCTGTCACCACTGCATTTTGATAACAGACAGAAGGGGGTGGGAGGAATGGCGGCTCCATCCAGCACATCGCTCCTGTCACTAAGACCTGGCTGACCACAAGAAATAAGATCCAGCCCTGCCACAACATGAAAAGGACTTGAGAATGACTGGGAAATATGGTTTTTAAAACTATAACCACATCACAGGAAGGCGCCCCTCGCTTTCCACCTTGATATGGTCTCCTGCCTTCGAGAGCAGCAAAGTGCTTCATTCTGTCATACTCTCTTGCTGACTCTGGTTGGATCAGAGCTGGATGTGTATTCTGTGTTCAGTGTTTGGAAACAGATGGGGTAGGGTAGTGGCTCCCAATTGTCTTTCTCTTTTTAGGCACCCTGGGCTCAGGCTCTAGCCCTCTGGGTGGTCATCCTGGAAGTTGCCAAATAGGGGTTCTACCTGATAGAGGATTAGCCGTTTCAACCTAGGTGACATTTCTAGGCCCTTGTTGGAAGCCTGGGCACACGGGCATTTGAGGCAACTGTCCTAGCTCTTCCCTGTCCTGTAATATCTGAGGGTTATGAAGGTGAATTTTCAGAAGGTGCGTTTTTCTCTTAAAATGCTAAAGAAAATAAATCTAGAAGTGGCTGTGGTTTGCTCGTGTTTGAATCACAACAGTAAGTCACATGGCAGCCATCCGGTCTAGTCAGGAACTAAAACTTGATTTCTCAAGTCCAAGCCTATAAATGAACCCCAATCCCTTTTTCCTTTGTGCATATGGTAGGGGAGGGAGGGTCTACCTGTGGGCACAGATGTGTGTGCATTTGTGTGCATGTGTGTGTAGAGACTAAAGGTCAATATCAGGTATTGGTCCATAGGAGCTGTCCATCTTGTTTTTCCAGACAGGTATTCTCATGGCCTGGAGTTCACAAAGTAGACAAAGCCAGACAATAGACAAAGTAGAAAGCCCCAGGGCTTTATTGGTCTCTGCCTCCTCAGTGCTGGAATTACAGATGTGGGCCGCCAGGCTGGGCTTTTCTACATGAGTTCTGAGGATCAAATTCCAATCCTCATGTTTGTATGGCAAGTACTTTACCAAAGGAGCTATTTCTTTAGCAACCCCCCTCCCCAAAAAATTTCTGTCTTAATTTATTATGATCTGGATTTTGCTTCAGATTTATATTAGACCAACCTAGGAAATTCAAGTTATTGCTCAAATATATAATCTTACCCAAGTTAACGATGTAAAAAAATACATAGGTAATGCTTGCTGAATGCCCTCTGATGTAAAAATACATAGGTAATGCTTGCTGAATGCCCTCTGATGTAAAAATACATAGGTAATGCTTGCCGAATGCCCTCTGATGTATCTGATTTGTAGGCTCAACTTTTCGTTTAACTCATTTCAATGTCAGGAAGCCAAGGCCCAAAAAAGTAAGTATGTAGTCCAAGGCCACCCAAATAAAGGTGAAAATCCAGGGTGGGAGGCAGAGAGTTGCTGTGTCTCAAACTTGCCCATAGTGTTAAAAGTCCAAGAACAGGCCCCTAGCTTCATGCACAGATGTGGACATGCTCTTGGGACTGCCCAGAACTATAAGCCTTTGCACATTCTAACAATTGCTTCTCCTGGAAAAAGCGAAGTGCAGAATACTGGGTGTCATGCTGGCCTCCAAGTGCCTACTGCTGAGGGTGGGACTCAGACCCTAGACCAGGTCTAGTTCTGGCATGGATATGTATACACACACACACACACCACACATATTGATGTACACACATACATACACACACAGAGACAGAGACAGAGAGACAGAGACAGAGACAGACAGAGAGAGACAAAGAGAGACAGAGAAGAGACAGAGAGAGAGAGAGAGAGAGAGAGAGAGAGAGAGAGAGACTGCTTTTTGTTCAGAGGGTACTTGGCTTGTCTCTGAAGCAAAAATTAGACAGAAGGATTCTGAATACCTCAAACTTTCCAGATGACCAGGGACAATCACCTAAAGTGTGATGACTAAACTGGCCGGAAGTCAGTACTGACTGGCTAGGTGGCTTTAGGTAGTCACTGGGCCCTGTTAGCTTCAGTGTCTGCACCTTCCTCTTCACCTCCAGTGGGAGTAGGGACATCAAGCCAGGATGAGACCTCAGCAAGTGCTTTAGAATAAAGCCCTTGGTACAAATGAGGAGGTGCCTTCCTTCCTTAGCTCCACAGAGAGGCCTCAGCAGGAATCCAGCCCTGGGCAATGTGTCAGGGTGGCCACTTCCTGTGAAGACAGATGACTGGTGGTTTCAGCGTAGGACTCCACTGGGGCTGCTTGTCTGAGGGACAAAGGGGTTCTCTTTCACACAGGCTGGAAATAGAAAAGAATCCCTACATTGAGCGATTGCACCCTTGCCTGGGTGACTGCCTTGTCTTGTCTGCAGAACTGGCCAGTTCCTCCTCTGTGTCCGCATCCGGTCTATAGCCTGTTTGGGAAATATTTCATCTTTGTGCTGGTGGCCTGACCCTCCTGGCTCGGTCATTCTTTCCACTGCCAAGATGACCAGCTCAGCTGAGGAGGAAAAACCAATGTCTTCCCTTTGTCTTTTGTTAGAGGAAGCCACCCTTTTGCTAGCCACACTTCCGGAAGCTCCCCCAGGAGTATATGAGCACATGTGTGTCTGGATCTCAGTAGAGATGACTGTGCTCTGGATGGAAGAGGAAATATCAGGGACACTCACTCTCATCACACCTTCAAATGAGCCTCAAGGGGGATGGTGCCCATGCTCCACCAACCCCAAGCCTCAGATGCCAGGCAATAAAGGCTGTCCTTGCCAATCTGGAGCAGTTCAATTTCAGTGAAGTCAGGCTTTCTGAAGGGATACATAGGACTGAGGCTAGAGAGCCATGCCCTAGGACATTATTTCTCAGGCACCCCTCCCATATTTAACAGCGTGATGAGAAAAGAAAACTGGGCCTACAGCAAATGCCGTCTTGTTCTTGCAGACCCTGGAGACCATGGACACTGGCAAGCCATTCCTCCATGCCTTTTTCATCGACCTGGAGGCCTGTATTAAGACCTTCAGATATTTTGCTGGGTGGGCAGATAAAATCCAGGGCAAGACCATCCCCACAGGTGAGCCTGCGCAGGACAGATTCTAGCCTCACTTGGGTCTCTTGGGGAATCTGTCTCCTCCTTCCTCCAGGCAGCCCCTCCAGGTCTTTTCCCCCAGTTCATCCTTCCCACAGCCCACGTCCCCCATGGCACCATGCTGAGTCTTCTTCTAGGGAACTCTGATTTGCTTTCAATCTTGAGTTCAAATCATTTTTTACATAACAGATAGACCTGGGAGCTAGCATCCATGTGGACTTCTCTGTTTCTTTTATTTTTACTAAATGAAATTCTTGACCCTGATTTGGTTCTTCCCCACAATGTGACCTCTCTTCCAGATGACAATGTTGTGTGTTTCACCAGGCATGAACCCATCGGGGTGTGTGGGGCCATCACACCAGTGAGTATGGAGTGTCCTGTATGTTTCCGCCCATTGTAACCAGCACTAGCTGGGCACAAGCTAGTGGCATGGGGCTCAGTGCCTGGGCTAGACCCCTTTCTTGCTCTCAAGAGGCTGGCTAAGAGTATGTGACAGAAGGCACAGTGGATTCTAGCCAAGTGGTCAGAACTGGCTAACACCTATGAGGCAGGGGATCTTAGCTAGGCCTTGAAGGACAGGGAAGATGCAGTGGGAGCTGCCTGGGCAGAAGCATGGAAGTGATTGTTTCCTTGGAAAAGAAGACGGGTGGGTGGGAGTCCAGGCTGGGATGAGCATACCTGGAAGGTAGCAGGCTCCTATCCAGCAGCCTTGACTACAGAGGGGCCAGGACTGTCTGGGTAGTGATATGCCTCTTGATACTGAGGAATCCAATGATGCTGTCTATCTGTTTGGGAATCCCTGGACACTTCCATGGCAGTTGAGTAACTGAGGATTGAAGAGGCAAGGATGGCATCCCTTCTGCAAGCATCTTGGTGGGGCTGGAAAAGCACACAGAGCATAGGTGTCTCTGCCAAAATGCCCCGTTAGCATCTCCTAGTGTGCAGTTGAGGAACCACTGGACTCCTGCGATTTTAACCGTAGAATACGCTTATGCCCTACTTGGAGCCCTGAATCCAGATCATTTAAAGCAAATGTCCTCCATGGAGGCATCGTTGGGCCCTGGGATGGAGACAAGGTAGACCTCAGCCCCAGAACCCCCTTCTTTGCCACAGTGGAACTTTCCCCTGATGATGCTGGCCTGGAAACTGGCACCTGCCCTGTGCTGTGGGAACACAGTGGTCCTGAAACCAGCGGAGCAGACACCCCTCACTGCCCTGTATCTCGGCTCTCTCATCAAAGAGGTAAGACATCTAAAAAGAAAATATGATGTGTTCCTGGTAATATTTCCACTCCTAGGAGCCAGGCTGCTGTCACCAGCCGTGACAGTGGCCACCAGCTCACTGTGCAGAAGGAAAGGCATGACTGTTTTGCTTGGCCACTGTGCTTGTGGTTACTGAGCTGGAAGCCTCCATTCCTCCCCCAAGGTCCTAGTGAGAACACATCCCTCTCATTACTGCACAAACCCATGGTTAGTGCTCTGTGTTTTGTCTAGAGCATTAGTGGGAGGGGCCCCTAACCAGGAGCCCATACTCAAAGGTTCTTGGACTCCATGGTGATGGGCTGTGAAATGGTCAATTCTCTTCTTGGTGGGGTGGCCTCGCAGCTAGCTAGATAGCCACAGCTATACTCAAGTCCCCAGGAGCCTCTGCACTGCCTTCTACTCTACCAGCAACTGTCCTTCCCACCCCAAGGAAGCCACAACTCAGGGAAGCAGCGGCCTAGAGAGACACCTGCCAGGCACACCTGGCAACATATTTTAGTCATTTCATCATCAGCTTGCATGCAGCAAAAAATCAAAGAACAGGAAGAAGGAGTGGAAGGGGAAAATCACTGTCTCTCTCCCCAGCTGGACAAGGATACTGGAAAGTGCAGGCTGTATTACTGAGGCTGACGCTGGGACTGAAAACCAGCTAGGATATCACTAGCTTTTCATTGGCCTCACAGGATGTCTGTCACATAAATAAGACTCTGATTTTACAATCAACTGCTACAAAATAGTGCCTGTCGAACTAAAGATGAAAGCACTGTACCCTAAAATTTTGACTTTTTAAAGTAATGTGTTTTCAGTGAGACAAAATGGGAGCATGTTGTAAGTGCTGCCTTCAGCCTCACTCAGTTGGTGGTGGTCTTTTTAATGAGGAGGTCTGGCATATGTGCCAAACATGGAGCATGGGTGTGAGCTTGGAAGAATCCCTACCTCAGCAAGTGCCAGCCCTGGGAAAGCTGGACAGGGCCAGCTGAGGACTAGGAGGGAAGGATTTCTCACTCCATCATTCCATCCTGACTAGAGTGGGGCACATTAAAATCCAACACAGAGGGCTGGAAACATGGCTCAGCGGTTAAGTGTACTGACTGCTCTTGCAGAGGACCAGGGTTTGGTTCCCAGTACCCACGTGGCAATTAACAACCTGTCTTCTAGGAGCATTGCACATGACACAGATATACTTTCATACATGTAGGCAATACACTCATATATAAAATAAAATAAAAATGAATAAAATCCAACATGGAGTTAGCGAGCATGCACTGTGAGTGCCTGGTGGTATGACCAAAGTTATTCTCCTTCCTTTAGTACAACACACACACACACACACACACACAGAGTGATATATGCTGTCACATGCACATACTCACACATATACTTACACACATACATGTATACACTGTCACATATGATCTCACACACATACAAGTTCACCCCTCACACACACATACACACATTCACACAGTCACACATACATACTTATACACACTTTCACATACTCGTTTGGTTTCACACCCTCACGTGCATATACACACACTCTCCACATACACACTCATGTGCATATGTGTATATGTGCACATACACACACGTAGATTGACACACATTCTACACACACACACACACACACATACACACACGCACACACACACCGGCTGTCTGCTACAGAAGGGCTACTGCCACCTGGTGGCATCCTTCCATCATTGTCTCTGAGCCCTGCTGAGGCAGGAGGCCCCTCCTGAGGGAGGGTGATCAATTCACCCACCTCTGCATACCTTGGACTAGCAGCATTGAATGAGGAGCCCAACAAAGCTCCAGGGGCCTGAAGCTGATGTGGGTATGTCCTGGCAGGTATGTGACTCCATTTCCCTGTGAGGATCCTGCTCTGTTTAGAGACATCATACAGCCACAACTCCCCCCACCCACCAGCACAGAGGTCTGCAGCTGGTACTATCCATTCTGTTCCTCTGATATCATTTCTGTTCCTCCTAGGTCGGGTTCCCTCCTGGTGTAGTGAACATTGTGCCAGGCTTTGGGCCCACAGTTGGAGCAGCAATCTCCTCTCACCCTCAGATCAACAAGATAGCCTTCACTGGATCCACCGAGGTAACTGTCTTCAAAGCTACTGGCAATACAACAGCAGCTCCATTACTTGAGACCCATAAATGTTTCCTTTGAGAAGCTCAAATATGATTTGTTTTTTCTTCTTCTGAATTTGACCATGTTTTAGTGGATCCCAATCAATAGAATGCCACCAGTCCAGTTTCCAAAATAAATAAATAACTGATAGAATTTGGAAGCCTTAGAAGAAATAATTGAGAGATAAGATAAAATAAAAATGCAAAATGTTCCTATGACAAACAATGCTATAATTAAGGCTAAGCGATGATGGACAAGCTGGGAGAAAGCCAGCTGTATTTCATGTAGCTCCCCAGAAGTTTATATTTCCTTCATATGTGAAAAGCTCCTACAAATCAGTGGCAAAAAATGACAAACAATGATGGGAGAAATGGGCATCTCTGAGAATGGAAATACCAAGTGTTTCCATACTAGTTCCTAGTTCACTGGGAATCAAAGAACTGTGAATTCATGTGACTATCAGACTGTTTTTGTCTGCCAACTCAACAAAGATGGAATGGTGCTGTTGAGATTGTGGGGAAACAGACCACCCCATCCTGTCCCTAAACGGGAGTGGAAGATGGGGGAGTGTTTATTTCAAACTGGAAAACTTTTGATTCTTAAATTCATTTCAGAAGAACTACTGTCCTTAGAGAAATACTCTCATGAGCTTTCAAGGACATATTTTGAAATGTGCCATATCTGTTCTGTGACTTGTTTTATAGAGTCATTACAGCAAGCAAAGCTGCCTGTGGTATGCTATGTAAAACCAAAAAAGTGGGAAATTAGTCACAGTATGTTCTCATCAGTAGCAAGTATATGCAGATACAGAAATTGTCTAGAGTTCTAAAGAAATTCCTTTACCCCTTTGGCATGGGTCCCAGGCCGTGGGATAAGTGGGGGTAAAGACTCACCCTTTTACTTTACATGCATCTGCATTTGAAATTATTTTTAATGAAAAAATTATTCTGTATTTAAAAGAGGAGTGAAGGAGCACTTCCCACACAGACATGTCCCCATGTCCCTCCTAGTCTAGTCCAGCCAGGGAGGCCAAGCCCCACCCTGAGGCCACCCTCTCCTTTGGCAGCCAGGGTAGGCATCCTTAGAGACTGTAGTCAGAGTTAGACCTGGTCTAAAGCCATGTCATTCCCAGGGCATGGCATTAAACAGGCCCTGGCATTGAGCACACTATCCTGAGAGGCCACATCTGGGGCAGGGGCTGGATCAGGTCCTCCTCTACCTTCCCCTGTACCCCCCAGCAGCACTGTGGTCCCCCCCAGGCGTCCATGCTCCAGTATGATGGAATCCTCCCCATTCATCCCTGGCTTTTGTGGCCCAGGGATGGCTCACTAGGAAGCATCCTCATAGGAGTGATTTTCTGTCTGCTGGGTCACCTTGCTGCCTTCAGCTGAGAGAAATATCCCAGTATACCCCATAAGGCCAGAGCTTGGAGTAGGTTGGCTTTGCAAGTATTATCACTGTGGGTCAATTCCAGACCTTATCCCCAGGCCATTCCCCAGCTCCCCTGTCCCCCAACCCACCCCCGTGTGTGTGTGTGTGTGTGTGTGTGTGTGTGTGTGTGAGCACACATGCGCACGTGCGCACGCGCGCACGCCAATGCAAGGGATAGAACCCTGGGCCTCTGGTTTGCTGTGCAAGCACTATACCACTGAACTACATCCTTAGGCTGAGCTTGCTGGTTTTTCAGATGCACTAAGGTGTCGGCATCAGCTCAGCCTCTTGACTGCTGTCAGGCCCAGGCCTCTGTGTCTGCTTTGGTTTCCAGGGTCTTTCCCAGGTCAGAGGTTCTTGACGTCCAGCTAAACTTCTTGCTGGGATGAGTCAGGAGGCAGGCAGAGCCAGCCTGGCCTCTATTGATGTGCCCAGTACAGAAAGACCATCAGCTGTATTGGTTCTTCTCAGCTCACTGATTCTCTCTTGACCTTCTAAGGATGTCTCTGGAGGGCTGGCCAGTTCTCAATCCAAGGATCAGCCACCCTAACTTGAAGGTTCCCTTACAGACCATCACCACCTCCATATCTAGGTGACAGAGTTTCAAGTGTTATTAGCTGGAGTGGAAGTTCACCCTCAGCATCTCAAGACCTTCCAAGGAGCAAAGGATGTAACAGGACTGCAGGAGGCCGGCCTGATGACAACTGGCTGTATGACATCAGGGCTGGGGCACAGTGCAGAGGCAGATGGCCCAGTTCACAATGTGCTGCCCCCAGGCCTATCTGAACCTAATGGGTCCAGCTCACTACCTTCAAGACTTATGTGGCTGGCTTCTTACCCTGCAGGTGGGAAAGCTGGTTAAAGAAGCTGCCTCCCAAAGCAACCTGAAGAGGGTCACCTTGGAGCTTGGGGGCAAGAACCCCTGCATCATTTGCGCAGATGCAGACCGTGAGTCACTGGGATTCTTTGTGTGGGTAGCTCTCTCTCCACTTCCAGGCCTGCATGGATGGCAAAACACTGGTGGTTCAGATGATGCACACTGACGTGAGGAAGTGTGTGGCTTAGGGGGAGCTCAGGGGCTGTCCCTGAAGGCTAAGTTCATTTTCCTGCCCCCAGGAGTCAGCAGGGTAGGACCAGTTTCTCCTGCAGGGGCCCCTCTGGGTGTGAGTAGGCAGGACTCCCCACTCTGGAGTGTCCACTGTTCTACCCTCAAGCCAGTATCTCTGCAGTGTTCTTAGGTCCTTGGAAGAACTGAAGTACTTCTTTATTTATCTTGGGCCTGACACACCAGGGGAAAGCAGTGCTGATCTTTCAGCACACAAATAAAAACATACTTTGGGTGTCATTCCTTTATCACCTCTTCCCTGGGACAGACACCTGCCCAGCAGTCGGGAGCAACTTGTGCCTTGCCAGAGCTAAGTACATGATATTCAGTGTATGCTATTGTTGGCTGTCATGCCCAGAAGAGGGCAGAAAGGACCACGCTGGGCATTCATTCACCTGCTCACTTGGTCAACTATCAAAAGTTGTCACTTCCCAAGGACCTTAAAGCACCCAGGTCTTAAATAACTGCCTCTCCCATCTGTGCAATTGTGCCAGAAATTCCTGTCAGAGAGAACAAAGCCTTCTATTTCATACTCAGATATGAGGAATTGCACATCGCTCAGAAAAATAATGACACTGGCACAGTTTCTCACTAAGATGTGAAGGTCTGGTAACAGTTCTTTTCCCAAAGCTGGTTTTCAGTTAGACAAAAGGGTGAAGAAGCAGTCCAGGGAAGGCTGTGGAGATGGACTGCCAGTCTCTTGGTTTCTTGCCTGAGTTGCTGAGCCCCCAGCCCCCGTGGAAGTCTTCACAGTACTGCTGCTGGAGCCCCTTGCTCCAAGCTGTTCTGTGTGTCACCTGCACTGTGACCCACAGTTGATGTTTCAAATTTGTGTCCTAAAAAGCCAAGACTCCTGTTTTACCTTCTTGAGTCACCATCGTGTCTCACCTCCATGTCAGCTCAGGATTCTGTCTTCTCAGTGAGGAGGACCACAGCAAAGCACAGGAAGTGGTCTGTTTGGGGGCTGCTTTACAGGGGCCATGTAAACAGGCAGGGAGTCCTTCTCCTCCTCCTCCTCCTCCTCCTCCTCCTCCTCCTCCTCCAGGCAGGGCCAATCACAAAATTAAATTCTGACATAGTGTCCACCCTAATCTGCCACCTCAGTTGTCATCCCTGGCTCCCATCATGGTGCAGGGAGCAAACTGGTGACTTGAGGTCAGCCTGTCCCCGCACCTGCGAGCCCAACCTCAGGGGTGGGATGCAGGGAGGATCAAGACCCTTTTAGCACAGTCCTGCTACCACCAGGATTTTCATACACAACCCTGCTGTGCAGTCCCCAACTTGGACTGGATTGCTGAGGGGATGGGGCTCTCCAAAGCCAAATGAATGAGGAAGTGTTACAACTCTGCACTCATTAGCATATTACAGACACAGACAAGTCCCACAGTTATAGTCAGTGTACGAAATTAAACTTGATGGATTTAAATATCCTTTCCCAGGGCTGGAGAGATGGCTCAGCGGTTAAGAACACAGGCTGTTCTTGCAGAAGACCGGGTTCGAATCCCAGCACCCACATGGCAGCTAACAACTGTCCATTACTCCAGTTCCAGGGGATCCAACAGCCTCTCTGTTCTCCTCATGCATTGCACAACACAGGTCACTTACCTACATGCAGGCAATATACACATACACATAGAATAAAAATAATAAATAAAATATATTTTTAAAATCCTTTCCCTCATGCTCTTCTTTGGAGAAGTGCTGAGAAAAAAAATAATAATTTCTGAAACCCAGCTATCCTGGGGCCTGTTTTCTTGTGTGGGCAATTAGAGTTGCAGCTGGGCCTGCTGTAACAACTTAATCGCTTCCTCTTGATTCCCCACCCTCTCCCCTCCAGTGGACTTAGCCGTGGAGTGTGCTCACCAGGGAGTGTTCTTCAACCAAGGCCAGTGCTGCACAGCCGCCTCCAGGGTGTTTGTGGAAGAGCAGGTCTACGGGGAGTTTGTGAGGCGGAGTGTGGAGTATGCCAAGAAGAGGCCCGTTGGAGACCCCTTTGATGCCAAAACAGAGCAGGGGCCCCAGGTAACCTGACAAGTCTATCTGTATGATACTCCTCGGCAGCCTGAGCTAGGAGAAGTGTGGCCACAGACAGGGATCCCCCTAAGGAAGGAAGGCTGGTTTGTGATGCCACTCAAGGCTTTATTTAGAAACTGATTCTTTCTATAAGGAAATGGGGCTGGACACACAGGGGCAAGGGAACCCAGAGGAACCAGCAGGTCCTGGCTGTTTGCCCACACCTTACAGCTTTCTTGATATGTCAACCTTCAGGGCCTGGGGAAAGGTCAGGTGGAGAGTTTTATCTGCAGAAGAGGGGCACAGCCAGGGCAATGACTGGATGTGGCTCAGGGGCCCTCAAGGCCACATGTGTTAGTTATAGCACCAAAGAACCCTCAGAAACAAGAGGATGGAGAGGCTCTGGGGACTGGGCTGTATCCTAGGCAGTAGGAATGGGTCTCTGGAGACCTGGTTTGGGAAGTCAAGGATGGGATATAAATGGCCATAACCATGAGGTTTAATAATCTTTGTAAAGGCTTTCACACTAATATAAATGAAGCAGATGGAGGAATATTTAAGAACACAGTCTGGCCATCCCTGCATTATTGCAGCAGAGCTCAGTGGCAACCCTCTGCTTTTTACCAGACTCCTGCTCAGCTCTCAAGTTTCCAGTCGTGTCTTTGACTTACACAGTGGGTTCTATCCTAGAAACTCTGTGCTTAGCACTGCATTGGCACCACATGTTTACATGGGAAGCTATGAGTGTGAGCTCAGCCCTCTGTTTCCTCCGCTGGGAAATGGGAATGATAGATAAACAATGTGAGAATTTCACATCACCACGAAGTATTCTATATAGGGCAGAAGTCTGTCTTGCTTTAAGGGAGAAGTGATAATTGGAAACCCTCTGATCCAGGGGGCACACATGTCTAGATGTGGTTTCAGGCCATCTTGGTCAGCCTTGTCTAACTATCCTGTGTGAACACTGGCTGGGGAAGAGGGCTGAGGGGAGCTTTTCTGACCCTGGCATCTGCCAACCCTAACCCAAGAGCATGTGGCCAACAAAGAGTCAACGTTACACAGCCCCAGCCTCAGCCCCAAACATAGGTAGTCAGCAGTCTCTGTGGATTTCAGATCTCAGCACAAACATGGCCACAAGCCATCATCAAATCCACTATAAACTTTAGAGTTGAACTGGAATTAGTGGGAAATATACTAAGGACAGCTTCTTCTCCAGTCATTTTTTCCTATCTCTTTGCAAGTCTCCAGTGTGGCCTTTGAAGCCAAATACACAGGCTTTTCCCAGAACACAGATCCTGGGGAATGGGTATTGATTCCACCCTGGCCTTTCTCTACTGCACAGAGCCCTTTTGAAACTCTTAGGCTGTCTAACCTCAACGTACTATTCTAGAATGCTGTTGGTTTTTTCGCTCCCTCTGAAAGTGCTTTTTCATCTATGGTAATATGATTTTACTCTGCAAGGACTTCCAGCTGTCTAAATACTCCTGTCTGTCTCATGCCTGTAAAAGAGCTAGCTAACCTAGATCAGGGTACAGGGCTGGAGACCGCTTGCTGGAACACTCCATCATCCTTCAGGTTTACTTGGCAGCTGAGAAATAAGGCACATAAACATTGTACAGGCCACCTGGTCTGTGCAGGATCTGGAGGCAGCTGAGCACAGCCATGGTTGGTCCTATGGGGACCATCTTTCCCTGTTTCTGGTGGTATGCCCTGCCCTGTCATCTCACTTCCTGGCAGTTCCTTCTTCCTGTACCATAAGGCACCAGCTGAAATTTCATGAATGCTTATTAGATTTAAACAATGTGTTTGTAAAGACTCATAGTGGGATGGGGGGTGAGTTCAGATGTGTAGGGACCTTACTGGGATCATGCTGCCTGCAGGACAGATGGGGTCTTCCAATAGAGCATGGTTCCCAGGCAGCCAAGACCTGTGGTTTGATGAAGTCCCTCCAGTGAGGCATGTTGGCCCTCAGGGAGGAGACAGGGGCTTAGTAAGATACAGACTATTATTTTACATTAAAAAATTTTAAATTTTATTTATTTAATTTGTGGGGGGTATTTGCATATGAGGGGGTGCACATGCAATAGCACACATATGGAGACCAGAGGACAACCTGCTGGAGACGGTTTTCTCTTTCCACCATGTGGATCCCAGGAATTGAATTCAGGGTGTCAGGCTTGACAGCAAGCACCCTTACTTGCTAAGCTAGTTCACTGGCCCCATCTGAACTTTTAAGCCAAGATGTGGTTCACCCAGGGAAAAGAATAGAGGGCCTAGTGATAAATCTATTGCAGGTTTCTTTTTCATCACTTTGAATGGATGTGCCAGCACATGGGTCTAAACCCTACCATGTGCTGAGGACTATGGTGAAGGAGTTTCTGTCCCACTCCACCTCCCACGCCTGTTCTTACTGCTCCCACCATGGGTCTTCCATGGTCTTCATTCCTGGTGCATCCTTCTGGAATTTTCCCCACCATAGGTCTTCCATGGTCTTTGTTCCTGGTACATCCTTCTGGAATTTCTTTATGGGTATGCGAGAAAAACTGATTATGCATTCAAATTTCCTCATTTATTTTTATGCAAAAGATATTATGATGGCTGCACCACTTTCTTCCCTTTTTATTGTTCTTTAAGAAGAAACTCAAAGAACTTTCTACATCTAACATGGACACCTGCTTTCTTTTTTTTTAACTCATGCAAGTAGAATCCTACTATATAGCACCACCACAATTTCTGGATTTTCATTTTTTGCAATGCTGGGAATCAAACCCAGGGCCTTATGCATGCTAAACAAGTACTCCTCCACAGAGCTATATTCCCAAACTCCGCTAGAATTTAAATAACATCTTCTGGTGAATACCTGGATATAAGAGTCACATATAATGTACAGAGCATGAGTTCACATACGCATGAGGAAATCCGTAGAACAGATTCCCCAACATAGAACTGTTAGTGGGAAAGTACTTGTAATTTCTATAAGCATCTCCAATTACATTTCACAAAGGATAAAGCAACTTCCGTCCCCACCAGTACTGCCCAAGCTTGTTCGTTCATACACCATTACCAAAAGATCATGTAGTCTTGCCCATCTGAGTAGAAATAGGCTGGAGTCTCATTTAAGTTTAGTGAACATGCATCTGTTGAAGAGTAAACAGAACATTTTATCGTAGTCTAAAGCTATTCAGGTTTTTTTTCCTACTAAATATACATTGGCTAGGCACACTTTTGCATTAGCCCCTCTTTTTAAAAATCACCTCTAAGACTTCTTTATACACACAGAAGAGAGATTTACTTTCTGTAATAAGGGCTTGTCAATCTTTTGTGTTTAGGCTTCTGAATTCAAAACACAGCAAGGCCATCAACATTCGAGGTCTGCGAGGGCACGCCCCACAAAAGAGTTTTGAGACTTTATGATTTCATTTGTTATGATTAGAACTTGCATGTTACAAGGTGTGAGGCATGGATCACAAAACTGGAGCCATATTTCATGAATTGGTCAGTTAAATGACATGTATGGATTATGTCCTCCCCTTATAAGAAGGTCAGCCTTCACCTCAGGGCAGTCACACAAATGCATTGATGGGCTTACTTGCTTTTCTTTTTTTTAACTTTAATTGATTTTTTTATTTATGTGACTATGAGAGAGAGAGAGAGAGAGAGAGAGAGAGAGAGAGAGAGAGAGTGCCCATGTTTGTTCATGCAGATGCCCAAGGAAGCTAAAAGAGGGTGCTGGATCCCCTGGAGCTGGAGTTACAGAAGGTTATGAGCCACCCAATGTGGGTGCTGAGAACTGAACCCTGGTCCTCTGCAAGAGCAACAAGCGCTCTTAACCACTGAACCATTTCTCCAGTCCCCTCTTTCTTCTTCTCTGTGTATGCTTGTGGTGCACCTGTAAGTGTTGGTGTGCATATGCACATCTGTATATGTTTGTCTGTAGGCTGGAGGTCAGGTTCTTTCTTTATCACTCTCCTCCTTATTTTGGGGACAAGATCTTTCACTGAACCTGAGCTCACTGAATTGTCTAGGCTAGCTGACCAGAAAACCCCAGAGATCTTCCTGTCTCCGCCTCCCCAATGCCGGGATTACAGGCCGAAGTGCCACACTTAATTCTTTACTTGGGTGTTGAGGATCTGATGCTATCTCCTCAGTCTTGATGTTTCAAACTGAACACTATTGGAATGGAACAGGTTCTCATACATAAAAGTCTCAGTAATAGTATACTTACTTAAACTCTGTCTCTCCCAGCTCAGGAGGAAGGGCACTTTCAACAGGATCATGATAGGGAACAGCAGATTTGAACTTCAGAAAGAAGGCTGTGGAGAGGGTCAGAAAAACCTTCCCTGTTGAGCTGTCTCCCGAAGGGGCCCTTTTGACTGCTAATTGGATGCTATGTCCCTCAGCTGGGTGTTAGGCTGTTACATGTAGTACAGGTCACACTCTAGTCAAGGAGACCCCTGGACAAGAGAGCACAAGGTAGAGCCTTTCTATCAAAGTGGGTCCCCTCCAGGCAAGGAGCAACTCCTGTAGCCTGCCTTGAGGCTCACGCCACTGTTTCTAAGGGTGCTCAGTCAGGTACTCAGCTCTTGCTCACTTCTCTGTAATCTGATAAAAAAAAAAAAACCCAATAAATAATCCCCTGATCTACATTTTCCAGTAAGCAGGGTGAAGTGTTATCAAATAAATATGACACCATTAGATTTGAATTTCAAACTGAAGGAACTTTAGCATAAGTATATTCCAAATGCTATTTGGAATATATTTATACTTAAAAAATGTGTTGTTTTTCTGAGATTCCCATTTAACTGAACATCCTGTGTTTTTACTTGCTAAATCCAGTAATGCTAGCAGAACTTCAAGACTTGAGGGAGCACAGAAGGTGACACTTCAGACCTTGTCTTTCCCCTAGACTTGCTTCATAGCATGGGGAGGGAAATCAGGCATGTGAACAGGTCCTGAAGCTAGAGGTGAGAGCAGCCTGCCTCCCTTTGGCTCCCCTGCTCCAAAGAGCCCAGGTTCGTGCATGGGAGGAATTACTGCCCACAAAGCACTCTGTTATCTGTAGTACAACTTGACAAGGACACACAGGGGAGGAGGAACACCACTAGAGTTAAGGACCATAGAAAATACTGGAAGGAAGCCACTGTACTTCTCTCTGTGTTTTGGCAGATTGACCAAAAGCAGTTTGATAAAATCCTTGAGCTGATCGAGAGTGGGAAGAAGGAAGGAGCTAAACTGGAATGTGGGGGCTCAGCCATGGAAGACAGAGGGCTCTTCATCAAACCCACTGTCTTCTCAGATGTTACAGATAACATGCGAATTGCCAAAGAGGAGGTAGGTGTTGCTACAGCCAAAGCTAGGGCCCCAGGGGTCTTTCTGAGAGGAACCAGGGATCCCAGAAGCCTTTGCAAGGAGAGCAGTTCCTTTTCTGGGTGGCCTTCTCCTCTCCTTTGGGACTCTGGTGCCTCTGGTGAACCCCAGTACCTGCAGCAGCTCTGGTTTATTTGAGCTCAGTTTCCATCCTTGTGTATGGTCTCTGGACCACAGCAATCTCACTCCTAAAATATCCCTCAGTTACATGTGTAATACGGGGTGGACATCTCTTACCCCTGTGGGCATTACCAAGAATGGAGCTATGGATTCAGGACCCATGACTGCTTCACACCCCTCAGACTGTTCTCAGATAATAAGGGCCCACTCAAGGAATATGTTCCAGCTATACTTCTCATTCAAGTTTTCTGTCATGGGTATCCTTGAGAATGATGGAGATTAAGGAGACCCTATAAAAGGCATGAATTTCCCTTTGCCTCCACGTCACACCATTGGGTAGATGGTAGCTATTCCTGCATAGGATTAGGAGAGAGCCTGGCTAGATGCTCAAGGGTGGCCTTCTGGAGCTTGTGAAGGAACACACATTGTCAGAGCTTCCCTGTGGGCATCTATTGGACTTTTTCCTTGAGATTTTGATAGGTTTCTGACCTCTCTGGTGGTACGAAGCGCAGCTATTTAAGCTCCTCTTGATGAGGTGTCCTGAGGAACCTGGGAGGGCATTTCCAGAGACAGAGCACTGTCTGAGCATGGAACCCTGCTCAGCAATCACAAGCTCCCTTCAAAATCCCCTTTAAATGGGCAATACTCTAGCTCCTCCCTTCCTTTCTTTCCTGTGATCTTTGACTGTGTCACCATTATCCCATTTCCTCCCCTGAGACTCACTGGGGAAACATTTTTAGACAAATTTTAACTGAGGGACATAGAACGGGACTAAAAGGGCCAGGTTCATTTGCCTATGACTGCCCTTCTAGAAAACTTTTCATAAAGTCATCCAAAGGTTTTCCTTCTTTTCACCTTGATGTTTCCTCGAGACTTTCAGGTGGAGGGGGTCTTAGAAACCCTGATAGCACAGAGATTATAAACACAGTATTTACTTTGGGTTATCTTTCATTTCTGATACATATGAATCCTCCCATTCAGATTTCAACCATCACACAACTGAAAAGGTCTCTGGAGTTCTTTTCCCATCATTACTGTCAGAGGGGCTGGAGCTCTGGGAATGTGGAAAGGTATAGAAGCAAAGTGCCTGCTTAGAGTGCATAGTTGTGTCCACCACCCCTCTCACTGATGTCCTTACAATTGACCATAGATTTTTGGGCCAGTGCAGACAATATTAAAGTTTAAAAGTCTTGAAGAAGTGATCAAAAGAGCAAATAGCACTGACTACGGTCTCACAGCTGCTGTGTTCACCAAAAATCTCGACAAAGCCCTGAAGCTGGCTTCTGCGCTGGAGTCGGGAACAGTTTGGTGAGTTGAACATGTGTGTGTGTGTGTGTGTGTGTGTGTGTGTGTGTATACATGTGTGCCTCACTTTTCTTCCATTAATGGGGTTTGTAAGCGACGTGCCCACTGTTTAAGTGCTTTGTTGATCACCCTCTGAAATGGGTATCCTTATGGCTTTAAACCCCTCAATTTTTTAGGAGAGGAGATCAAAGTATAGAGAGGTAGAGTGACCTGTCCAGGGTCACACAACTAGTCCTTTTTGCCCTTAGTGTTTTATTTGCTGAGGATTAATTCCATCCAGATCCTTGTATATAATGTAGTATGTGCTTGTAATTTAGATGCAACCCCCTGCTTATTTGTTAGTTTGTTTGCTTAGCACTGTGCTAGGGATCTGGCCCAGGGCCTCAAGTGTGCTTGCCAAGTGCTTTACTACCCATTCCCTTCCCGGTACACTTCAAAATCATCTAGATGACTTGTAACACCTAATACAATGTGAATATTTGTTGTACAGTATCATTTAGGGAGTACTGGCAAGGGGAAAAGTAAGTCTGTACAAGCTCAGTACAGATGTTATATTTACCCCACAAAACTTTGAATCTGAGGTTAGTTGAATCTGAGGTTGCTGAACCTGTGGGTACCAAGGGCCCCTACGCATAAGTGAGCACCTTTGATAAACTGTGTCACACCACCTCTCTGATTTTGCTTCTGGGTTGATTCTAAAGTCAACACATATTTGTCTGCAAGGTATGAACACCCGTCCCCGCTCACTGATAACTGTGCATTGTGTACTCTTATGTCCATCTTCAAGAGGAATGAAATGAGGCTCAGAGAGGTGGAGTAAGAAGTTTGGAGTCACATAGTCCAGGAAACAGAACTCTGAAGTCAGGCCAGTGTCATTTCACCACTAATTCATCCCCTAGCTCTAGTCAAAGTTTAGTTTCTGGCACGGTGACTGAAAGGGCAGGAATGAAGAACACGCTGTGGCTGTGCTTGAATTAGTAAAACTTTGCCCAAAGGCCATGCACCAGGCAGCTTTCTGCCTCCAGTGCCTCCAGACACAGTGTGTGCTCTCCAGGTAATGTGAACCTCTTTCATTCTTTCTCTAGGATCAACTGCTACAATGCAGTCTACACACAGGCTCCATTTGGTGGCTTCAAAATGTCTGGAAATGGCAGAGAACTGTAAGTGTTTCCATTACTCTAAGCCCACTGATGGGCTAAGATGCACAAGATTCACAGGGTACATGGATAGACTTGCTCAGGGACACCCCCCTAACACCCTCTGCCCTGCCATGAAAGCTGGTGGTCCCTTCCTGCAGGCTGTTCTGGATACCTCCTTTCCTCCCTGTCTCTGCTTTGACACCCTCATCCTCTAGGCCTTCAACCAACCTACAGCCTTAGCTCTTCTACCCTATCCAGCACCATCACACTGGGGGCATTCTTCAGATCTTTGACCTAGGCTAGGAGGATGAGGATGTGGCAATTGTAGGGTCCTGTTACATTCATCTCCACTTTGGACAGGCATGATACTGACTCAAGTCAGGTTCTGATTCTGCCCAGCCTTGCTGTCAGAGCCTAGCACAAGTTCTGAGGATATACTGTGGGTGACTCTGGTGCCTTCTAGATACTTCTCCAAGGGGCAAGTGACTCCTTCATGGCCCCATCAGTACCGTCTGAGCCTGGGCAAGTTCCTTTGCATCTCCTTCCTGCCTGGCCTGCTGAGATTCATGGATAGGCTGCCCTGCATATCTGGCTCAGGCCCCAAGCTGGATGCAGTATCACTGGGTGGAGATGCTGGGGTCTCTAGCTGTATTCTGGCATCTCTCCCCATTCCCGCTTGCTGCCGTTCTGGGTTTTATTAGCCATCATGGACAAACATCTTGGTATGCTCAGTGTTCCTGAGGAACCATCTGTGACAACACCCCAGGGCTTTTCCTGGACATTTCTGAGGGTTCATGTTCTTCCTTTCATTTAAACAGTTTGTGTCATTTATATACAAATACATTACCTTCATATTTGCACATCTTCTAGTGGGAACAGACTCAAGGCACTTCTTGGCCTGGGCCTTTGTGGGGATTTGGTACAGCTCTGCTTACAGATGCTTACAGATGTTATGATGGAAAGAGGCTGGCTTCTACCCTGGAGCAGTTGCTCTTGACTAGTCTTCATGGAATTGGGGGTCCCTTGCTCCACCTGAGCTCTTTCGGATCATCCCTGATTCATGACAGATGCCCATGAAACATCTACACATAGGAGCAGAGCACACAGAACATCCATTGGACTTTTCCTTGTTCCATGGCTGGTTCCTCTGCAGGAACTTCAGTTAATCCTTGTCTACGGAGAACCTTGGCAGGAGCCTGGCCCTCACTCTGGTGGCCTGTCTGTGTCCAGGTTCTCTCCAGGACTCTCCAATAGCAGCAGCACTATTGACAGCTGGCATTTGCTGAACAGAGACTCTAGAAGGTTCTATGAGAGCCCAGGCATATTCATATCCTCCTGGAGAGAGTTTGTGAGAGGAGACAGCAGTTTTCAGGAGATGAAAGAGCCCAGAAGGCCAGTGTCCGGAAAGAGCTGAGAGTGAATAATGACACCGGACTTGCTGGCAGAGTTTGGTTTTTTGTTTGTTTAGGGTTTTTTTGTTTGTTTGTTTTACAGAACTGGATTGAACTTAGAGAATCAAGCATGTGAGGCAAATACTCTACCACTAAGCTACAGCCCTGTCCTAGGACTCATCTTTTGTAAACTACCTCAAACGAAGCCACCAGAGTGCATGTGGTCATTTGTCTCCTCTGGTCTTCTGTCATCAGTCAGGCAGGTTGTGAGGACAAAGGAATAGCCTTTCCTCCAGAGGCCAGGAAGGAGCCAAACTCTAGTCACCAAAGTGATTGTCATTGGAAAGACATAGGGGTGACAGAAAGGCATGTGGGTCCACCCACCCCTGGCTTACCCTAGCTCCATTGAGGAATCACTGTGTGGTTTTCTTCACCTGGCTCCCTCATATCCCCCTGGCAGGGCCATCAGCTTCTGGCCTGATGAAGTGAGTGTCGCAGAGCACCATCATGTTTCATCCTGACAGTTAGTTCCTTGGGGACTTTCTTGAATGTCTGGGTTGGGTTTTTGTTTTTGTATCTTTGGTACATATATTCCGAAGGCTTTTGATGTAATATTTAAAAATCATTCATAAGAAGCCTGGAAACTGCCTTGAAAAATAATCCCCATTTTCAGTTGTTTCTAATTAATGTCTTCATGCTGCAAGAAGTTCCTCTTTTCCTCACTGGAGCACCGTGGGGTGGATTCCATGGTTTTCCCCAAACTGATCACTGGGGTTGGGCCATCCACCCATAGGCCTCTCTAGGATGGTTTCTGGGCTAGTCTTGGGATGGAGCCTGAAATGTTTCTTTTTTCTGGGTGCTTTGCTTCTTAGGTCTGTACTTTACAATAAAAATAAGACACTAATGATAACCAAAAGACACAGAAACCTCCAACAACAGAGATGTGGAAGGTCAAGGCCTTCCTCCCCTGACCCTCAGTTCCATTTGTTAGGGGAATGAACCACTGCTGATTCATTTCATTCATTCACTCATTGGTTCGCGTGGCAAATATTTGTTACGCATCTCTGTTGCTCCAAGCATGATGTGAGGTTCTGAGTGTCAGTGAACAGCGGGTTTATCAGTCCTGGTCCCCAGTGATAGTTCAGGGAGACTTACTGGGAGAAAGTCTGGGCTCATGCACAACCTTGGTTGCTGAGGTTAAAGAGAATGGGTGAGAAGCTGATTAGGAGACACCACACCACCTTGAATGAAGACAGCAAGAACGTGAACTAGAACAACAAATGAGGAAATAGAATGTGTGCTTGTTCTTACAAGAATGTCAGTCCTGCTGGGCTTATTCAACAGCACGTTTAATAGAGTTTATCACTTTTCATTACTAAGTCAACAAATCATTAACAACTTTGAATTTTTGAAATACAGCATTATTCACTCATTTTTAAGTTTGTGATGTGTTTTCTACTCATATTATGTGTACAAAATCACACATTCTTTTCTGTTTTCAAATGAAATGGGAGCAAGCTACTTTTTTAATTTAATAACCACATATTTAGAAGAAGCATTCCATTACAACAGCATTGACATATTCAACAATTTCCAGATCTAAGGTGCATCTCTCTCAAAATTGGCTGTAAATTTTTAGGTTTACAGTTGAGTTAATACAGTTATACAGTATTGTACTCAGCATAAACCCTACAAGACGTAAAATTAAATGAGGTTTCAACCTTTAAAAAAGAGCTCCATTTCATTATTAAAATACACCGTTTCATACAGAAAAATTCACTTTTAATGCAATTGACATTGAGATGTTTGCACATGCATTTCTAATCTCTATATATCTGATCATCCTCAGTCACAGTCAGTTACTTAAGGGTGGGTTTTGGATAACTCCCATTCTTTTACTGATATACCCTACCAGAATGGACTTTAGTATTATTTCAAAGGAGTTTTACTATGGAGCTGGAGAGATGGCTCAGCAGTTATGAGCACTGATTGCTTTTGCTGAGGACTTGGGTTTGGTTCCCAGCACCCACATGATGGCTAACAACCCTCTGTAACTTCAGTTTCATGGATATGATGCCCTCTTCTGATCTCTGTGAGTATTGCATGACATGAGTGTACTGCACATACATGTAGATACAACACTCATATGTACAAAATAAAAATAAATAACTCTAAGGAGTTTTATTATCACAAACTATGTCATATACTTTCATGCCCATAAATATTTATGCACTTGTGGAAGATTGTTTACAAAATAAATTCTTAGGATTCAATAATCGGTCACATGAAAGTGGTCTCATCTTTGTTTGGGTTTGCATGACTATGTCCCTTGTGGAATTTCTCCATTTGGTTGTGTTTTACCTGCTGGTTTGTAAGAATACTGTATACATTGAAGAAAACAGCAGACATTCTCACACAAGAGTAATTGTTATTTTTGTTGTAGTTTGGCATTTGTCTGTGGTGATTTTTTTTTGAGTGGGGAATCTGCTCCACAGAAGTTGGACTTAGTGCTTGGATTGTGGCTTTTGTATTTTGTCTTCTGTCCAGAAGAAACAACAAAATCGTTCATGCTCATTATTGTGCCTTCTGCAAGTGTGTATTCTAGGAAACTACTTAAAAATCTCATGTTTTATTAATAAAATAGTGATATTACTTCCCACCACTTTTTATCTAGCACAGAGTGGGTAACCTATGTGAATTCCTTCTAGCTGATATAATGGAGTGTGGTTGTATTCCTGTGATATAGCTGAAGTAGTCTTAGAGAAGTAAGTGAACTTGGCCCTCCTATAGAATTCTTACGTTCTAGGCGGTCTCCCACCTGTCCAGGCATCAGAATCACCCAAGGAACTTATTGAACACATTTTTCTTGGTTCTGCCTAGGAACCTGCTGATTCTGTGAAAATACTGATTTTTCTAAAAGTACTGTAAAATCAGTGTCTTAGATGATGCAATGTGTGCCCTGTAGGAAAGCAACCTGACACAGCTTCCTCTGGGCTAAGATCAAGGTGTCAGCCCTGCTACACCATCTTTGGAGAATGTGGGGAGTGAGTTTCCTGGCCTTTCCCAGTCCTCAAAGGCTGCTCTCATTCTTGGCTAGCGGCCTCTTCCTCCACCGTGCCAGCCAGACCAGCGGCATCCCTTCACGTCTTGTTTTGTTTTGTATTCCTCTGTTCTACTCTTCTTTAATTTTTTAAATTTTGTTTTGTTTTTGGTCTTTTTGAGACAGGGTCTCCCTGTAGCTCCAGCTGCCTGGAACTCACTCTGTAGACCAGGCTGGCCTCCAACTCACAGAGGATCCACCTGCCTCTGCCTCCCTCCTGAGTGCTGGGATTAAAGGTGTGCACCACCACACCTGGCAATTTTGTTTGTTTTTTATGTTATGTGTATGACTATTGCTTGAATGCACGAGTGCACTCATGTCATGCAATGCCCACAGAGACCAGAAGAAGGCATCGGATCCCCTGAAACTGTGGTCACTGATGGTTGTTAACTGACATGTGAGTCCTGGAATTTGAGCCCAGGTCCTCTGCTAGAGCAGTCAGTGCTCTTAACCTCTGAGCCATCTCTCCAGTCCCCTTCTTCCACTCTTTTCTAAAAAATATTTTATTTATTATTATTTTATGTGTATGTGTGTATTGCCTGCATGTAGGTAAGTGCACCCATGTTGTGCAATGCCCACAGAGGACAGAAGAGGCTGTCAGATCCCCTGGAACTGGAGTTACGGACAGTTGTTAGCTGCCATGTGGGTGCTGGGATTCGAACCCAGGTCTTCTGCAAGAACAGTCAGTGTTCTTAACCGCTGAGCCATCTCTCCAGCCCCCACTTTTTCTACTCTCAAGGAATCTCAGGCCACCCAGATGATTCAGGAAAGTCTCTATTTTAAATAATAGTTGATTAGTTCCGAGAATTCCAACCCCGGCATTAATTCTCCATTGTCCGTGTAAACTGACATTTGCACTGGTGCAGGGGAATGGGATGAGGACACTCATAGAGGACCTTTATTTTACCTGCCACAGTAGGTCTGGGTGAGGTCCCAGAGTCTGCACTTCTTGTGTATTCAGAATTAAGGCTGATGGTGCTGGTCTGGGCATCACATTTGCAGGATTTGGGGTCTGATGGGATCATGGCTCAGATCTTAGTCCAGAGCCTTCAGGGGCCATCTCTACCCCTACCTTGCAAGAACCAGGATTCATTGATCTTTCTGTAACAGCAGAGAGATGCTATCAAGGAATTGCAATCTATCCAAAACTGCCTCTGGATTCTGGGAAGAAGAGCTGTTCTAAAGATGCTCCATGATGCTTAGGAAAGATCTCTGACCCCTGTAAGATTTAAGGAGAGAAAATACCCCAAGGATGCTAACCCAAAGGCTGCAACCTCCCTGTATCCAGCCTGTGCCAGCATCTGTTCTTACCCCTTCTGTCTTGCTCAGCTCCTCTTACAGCTGGTCTCCAGCTGTGCCCTCCAGGGCCAGTTATCTCTGTGGTCCCTGGATACCTCCCCAGCCTTGGAATAGCCTATTCTGTCTCTTTAAGCAGCTCTAAATTGCCATCTAAAGCTTACACACCCTGTGCAGTTTCTGCCCCCAGAGTCCCCTCATTAACCCATCCAGGCGTCTCTGCTGCCTCCTCCCTGATGCAGAGCACGGCCTTGTGTTTGCTCTGTTCTTTTAATATCTGCACTCCCCCAAAGCAGAGCCTTAGTTCTTGTAACTACTTCAAAGCATCACACACAAGAGCTTAGTATTTAAACTTGCTTTTCCAGTTGCTAAAGCTTACAAATGACATCATAGTGCCCACTATGGGTGCTTCATCTATCCAGGCGTCACATTTTTTACTTACGCATAAACCCCAACTGTGAACCTATCCCACAGAGGATTCAGGCATTAGAACAATTTCCCCAGAACTGTGAACTGACTCCAGCAGTAAGAACTGCCCCTTTTCTATCATTGCAGAGGTGAATATGCCCTGGCTGAGTACACAGAAGTGAAAACTGTCACCATCAAACTCGATGACAAGAGCTCCTGAAGGGAAGGTGGGCTCCTTCCCCAAGTGCTGGACAACAGAATGTGGCCAAATGCAGAAAGCAGAAAGACAGTACTGACCATTCTGGGACACTTTCTTCTGGACACTTTCGATCTATGGAGCTGAATAGTTTTTATTTTCCTCTCACACTCATGCTTTATGGACCAAACTGTGGGTGACTGGACATTGTATGTGAAATTTCAGGGCTGCCTCTGGAGGGAGCTACTGGCCAGTTCTGACTTTGCCTTCAGACCAGGTGTGGGACACAGCAAAGACTCTTGGGGCTCTGTTGACATATGATGTGCCCAGCAGTTATTTTCAAATGCTTTGCTGACTCTGATTCCAGTAGGAATTTGCAAAGAGCTCCTTGCATGTTTTGCAAACAGAGTGCTGAATCCATGGTCTCCTTGGGGTCACCTGTACAGAGAACAAGGCCCTCTTCATCCTGAGGTAGGAGTGGGACTTTTCACAAGCAAAGGATTAGTGCTAGGATGAAAGAAAGAAAAAGTATTTCAGGGAGCTTTGGGTAACACATGCCATAGAAAGGTACCAGATGCCTTTGGTATACAGAAGTGTGGTTCTTGAGAGCTGTGTATTGACATCGACCATGGGATTCACCTTGAAACCAGTCCTGACTTTGGAAAGACCAAATCCATATTCTCAAGAGCTTACCCTAAAATTAGGTGATGGTCTACCATAAACAAGGCTTTTCTTAGGCAAAGAAACTTGTTAGTGTTTCCTTTGCCCCAAGGACCTGATAGTCTAGCACCATTACAACAAAGCAAATCCTAGACAAGCAAGCAGCATACGTGACAATCAGAACCATAATTTGCAATTTGCTTTTACAAATTATGCATTTTGACCACATTCCGTAATGGGTATGCCTGTATGCTTTTGCTTTGCTCCAGCTCCATTGTCATTTTTAGAGCAGTAGAATGCACACAGCTGAATGACTACTATTGTAACACAGCTCTGTTGTTTTAAGGTCCTATTTTGGTTTTCATTTGTGGTTAGTGAACATGTAACACCTGGATTTCCTAGGGGAGCTGGGTCATCATCCACGTGACCTAAATATTTCACTAACATTATGAAGTTTTCTTTTTCCACTTTGGTGTGCCCAAGTGCTGTACAAATTCCATGTTTTAACTTGGAAAAGCTGAAGCCATTTCCCATAAAGCTTTAAAAACAAAAGCAAACTTGTGCTATTCTGGTACTTTTACTGTCACTAACAGGTACTTTCTCTAATTGGAAATGATGCTTATGTTTGAGAATTAAGTTGGAGGGAGCAACAGTAAATTTAAAGCCCTATGTCAGAATCAGAGTGTGCATAAAGAATGATACATGAGCTGGGTAAGTTGGCACATGCCTTTTATCCCAGCACTCGGGAAGCAGAGGCAAGATCTTTGTGAGTTCAAGGCCAGCCTGTTATACGTAGTGAGTTCCAGGCCACCAGCTGGGGCTACAGGGATATCCTGTCTCAAACACACACACACACACACACACACACACACACACACAATGATACATGAACTAGGGCTATCATCCTTGTCAGATATACTCAGTACGCCATTTGCTTCTTTTCTTCATCAGTAACATTTATCATTTACACTACCAGTAACTGGTTAAATCAGGATTTGACCTCATACACTGAATTTTCAGTATCTCAGTAACTCTAGGCACTAACAGCTCCACCATAGTAAATTAGAGAGTTGCTATTCTTTCATTGTACAATAATGCCTTTCATTTGAAATGTTACATTATTTATAATTGGTATGGTTAATGTATCTTTTTATAGCTGTAAGTACAGAGAGGTAGTATATTTAACCTTCTGTAATATACTGTATTTAGAAATGAAAATCTATATAATGTTAGATTTCACTTCTTTTAAGGTTTACCCCAGTGGTAAGGTTTTTAAATCGATTGGACTGGGACTTCTGATCCTAACTTCATATCGTGTTCAACAATGATAAAATAAAATCAGATATTTGAAAAACATTATGTTCCTTTTTTCATCAAATGACAGATCCCATTTTAATTCTGTTGTGGACCTTCCTCTTTCTGAGACCTCTGTATAATGTGTCTTGTAATAAAGTAATGTTTATGGCAAGAATAAATTACACTCTTCCAGGCAATCATACCCAGGCCTTTGCCTGAGTGTGGCAGCCATTTCCATGCTCGTGGAGGTTGAACGGGCAAGGGGCTAACCTGTGACTTAGTAGGCTAAGTTTAAGGTGTTGTTGAAGCTTCCCAAGCCGTTTAATCATAAAGTGACTATAACACTGTGAATATTAAGGATTTAGAGAAAACAACATGTCCCCAAATGGTGACCGCAATGTCTATTTTTGTGACTTTTCTCAGTGACAATCTGTGTGTTCCAGCTTAACTTAGTTGAAGTTCCTAAGCTTCTGTTAAGAAGCCTCGGTCACAATGTTGTGATCTGACACTGAAGTTGGAGCAGAAGCCTTCACTGTACTTGGGTAGGTCTGGAAAGATCAACCTGTGTACTCAGCTTTGTGAGCCTGGGTCACTTAATCACATGTAAAAAGCACCACCCCCTTAAGAAACCATGTGGGGGTGGTTGGATATTATCTCTCTCACTATGCACTTACGCCTGTGTTGATGTAATTACAAATGTTTCATTTCTGGTCCAAATGAGAGTAGAAAATGATAGAAAATAGGATTTTCCTTTGTTAGGTTTACTAGAACATGAATGCCTGAACAAAGCCACTCTAGGGACAGCAGATTGTGTGTGTGTGTGAGTGTGTGTGTGTGTGCGCGCGTGTGTGCGCGTGCAGGTGTTTACATGTGTACACTGCTATGCATGTGGATGGGCACATTCTCTAAAAGGAGACCCTGTGGGATGTTCTGGCTTCTGTTGGTGAATTCAGCCTTTCTTATGTCTGCTCCTTGCTAGAATCCATGCAGTTGACTTGTGCTTGCAGATAGAGCATGAGGGGTGTTTAAACTACTGTTCAAGGGGGAATATCAGAAGAAACTGGCCATCTAACTAAAGAAAGAGAAGCAAGAGCCAAAAAAGAACCGTAAGCCATGGTCCTTTTTAGGTGGCAGAAATGTTCACTCATACCCCACTGAAGACAGGGCCATTCTTAGCTCAGATTTCTGAAAATTTGGATGGGATGCCAACAAATGCAAGAAAACAATGGGTCTTCAAGGATGAAAAAGTGGCAGAAAGTAATTTTAACTGACCGATAATAGCTTTCCTTTGCAAATTTGTGACTAATGCATGCCTAATGGGTAGAGTTGAACGCCGGGATATAGCCATCTAAAAGCAAGTTATTCATGTGTCGAATGTTCCAGATATTTTTCTACAGTGGACGCATTTCCTAGTCGATTTCCAAGCTTGTTTAAAAGGTAGATTACATTACCTCATAGGTATTGGCAAAACTGGTAAAACCAACGCATGTCCTGGTGAGTCAATCCTGGCATCAGGAGTGCATTTACTCACAGTGACGCTAGGTGGCAGCAGTGCCGTACGCGCTGAGGGCGCCACCAGGCCATCTCCTGGCTCATTCAAACTGCTGGGCGCCACGCCCTGCAAGTTATTAGGGACTTTTCCCTGTCGCACTGCTGCCCTTGCAAATTGGTTTGCGGACCTCAGTGGCGAGGACAGGATTACGAAACTGCGCCCACCCTTTTGGGCGTCAGGAGAGCCAGGGCAGCGTCTTGAGAGCATAGGAGGGTTGCCAGAACCCCCTTGCCAACCGCGGGTCCAAAGAGCAGCTCCAAGGAACCACTCGCACTCTCCTCCGCCGCTCGGATACCTCGAAGCGGCTGCGGGGACTACGGCAGTCTCTCTCCACTTGGCGCTTGGTCTTCGCTGTGAGCCTAGGCACTGGTCCGGCCAGGCGGCGGCAGAGCCGTCCACTTTTCTGAGCCGACTCTGAAGTCAGCCTGCCTGGCCGCAGCTTGGCCGAGCGTTTACGCCTGCGCGCGGTGATCAGCCGTGGGGTGTGATGCACCTTAAACCAGCTTCGGTCAGGATCATTTGGCAGCATCCCACCGTGCTCTACAGCCCCTCCCCCAAGTACACAAAGATTCGACAGCCCGGCGAAGTGGCGTGCGCCTGTTATCCCGGCTACTCCGCAGGCTGGAAAACTAAAATGGAAAGGTTCATCAAGTAGGAATATCTTTGCAGAAGTCCGAAGTTAAATCAGTAAGTTTGCATGATGGAAATGTGCAGCTTACAAAATATTGGCGTTTAGAAACTCTTATTTCGATATAGTCCTATTTCTGTGCTCCCTGAAGACACATGAACACCCCTCTTTTGAATATTAGCCAGAGGGCCTACACACAAGGTAGAGGTTAATACCGTACCACAACAGAGTATGAAACTGGGCTGACAAGGGCAGGGACCAATCTTGTCCCCCTATCTGTCCCCTGGGAAGGCAGCAGGGTACCGCAACTGGAGGGAACCTGGCCCCGCAGAGTCCCAGGGCCCTGGCGTCCACCCCGGTACGCGCCGTGCGCTTCATCACCGATGTCCTGCATCTTGGGAAACTGAGGCAGGCCATCTAGTGGACCGTGTGCCCGTTCCGCCCAGGCCAGAGGAGGCCGACCCTCGGGCGCGGCCCTGCTTTCGCGCCGCCCGCCGCCCGCCCTCCCCGCCCGCCCGGCGGCCGCAGGATTGAGGAAGTGCGTCTGGGCCCTGCAGGAGACAAGCCGGGCAGACGCTGGTCTGACCGCCAGGCCCGAGGCCGGGCCCGCTGCTGTAACCCGCCCACGGGAGCCCCCAGCCCGCAGCGCTGGCGCCGGATCCCGCCCGCCGCAGGTAAGTGCTACTCCGATAGCGCTGTACCCGGGATCTGCGGCTGCCCGCAGCCCGCCCTCCCGCTAGCTCCGCACCGCGCCCGGGGTTCCCGCGTGCAGCAGCCTGCCGGTGCCGCACGCCCCAGGCCTGCGCTCCGGGCGGTCCAGTGCTCGAACCCCGGCGGTCTGTGCCCAGAGCCCGCGGGCCGCAGCTCAGTGGGCGCGGAGATCTCGGGCCACCCCCACCCCTCACCCCCCACCCCTCGGTTGGCGCGGCGACCCCAGCTTATTGGCAGCTAAGGATGTGCGGTGTTGGGGCCTGGGAGCTGGGGAACCCAGAAACCCCACGCTGGACCAGACCAGAGCTGGGGCGGGGAGCAGAGGCCAGAAACAAAAATAGGAAACAGCAAGGCTGTTTTCAGTTTGAAGAAAACCTGTCTTCTAAGCCCGCAGAGTTTGAGGTTGTACATGAGGGAGTGTGCATGGCGGTGGGAAGTGACACCCAGCAGGCTCGGATGCACTGGGCACCCTGGTGCTGCAGGATGGCCTGGTGTCTTCTCCTCCTCCACCTGGAGCATGCCTCTAGCCCAGGGGTCACATCTCTACTGCTGTGACCATCCCAACTTAGGGATGTGGGCTAGGATGCTGGGAAGGCAGGGGGATTGCTACAAAGTTAGTGGTGAAATCAGGGACATCCATGGCCAGTTCAACCCGCCTTGTCGCAGTTTGAGGACTTTAAGTTTTTCCTTACGTGCATGTAGCCCTGCAAAGAGAAATTGAGACACAGCTATGCTTTTAGCAAATTCTCACCAAATACCCCATTTTAAAAAAGAATGTGTATGAGTATGTTGCCTGTAAGTGCACCGGTGTCATGCAATGCCTTCAGTGGTCACAAGAGAGCGTTAAATTCTCCCCTTGAACTAGCATTACAGACAGTCCTTAGCCACCATGGGGGTGCTGGGACCGGTACTAGGGTTCTCTGCAGGAGCAGCCAGTGCTCTTAATTGCTGAGACATCACTCCAGTCAAAATACTCCATTTTTAATGGGTTGATCACTCACGTGGTAGCTTTAAATGAACTACAATATCACAAATTTGGAAAACCTTAACATTAAATTATTTCTCTGATTTGGTTTTCATTATCTTTGCTCATATTCCAGAAAATAAATTAATACCATGCCAACATCCAGTTTGTACCTAAAGGATCTTTAGGGTCAACCAAACCTTTTTTTCCCCCCTTCACACTTCAACATCTCAGGGAGTCACCCCATAGTATACATAGTAGCTTAGATTTAAAACAAAACAAGCTAGGGAGATAGCTCAGTGTGTAAAGTGCTTGCTGGTCAAGCATGAGGACCTGGGTTCAGACCCAGGACTACATAAATCTGGATGTAGTAGAAAGTCTGTGACCCCAGCAATGCTCCTGTGACATGGGCAGTGGAAATCAGAGAATCCCTCAGAGCTTGGCTTAGGCAGCAAGTGGGGAAGAGACGCAGTGAAATGAAGGCAACACTTGATGTTATTCTCTGACCTTCACACACACACACACACACACACACACACACACACACACACACGATAAATAAATAAATACAGGTGGGCATGGTGGCGCACCCCTTCACACACACACACACACACACACACACACACACACGGGGAGGGGGGATTAAAAATAAAAAGAACCTTAGTTCTCATCCCTGGGTCCAGTCCACTGCTGACTCTTGTTGGCTGCATCCCAATAAAGTGTTCTGGTCTGTTCCCTTCTTCTCTCAGCCTCATCTGTTTCCATCCCTCTACTATGATTATAGTCCCCCCTTCCCTCCGCTCTACCTAGCAGCCAGAGAGACATTTTATGTATGCATAATGGTTCTTCATGGAACCTTCAACACCTTCTGCTTGCTATCAACATGAGATCACTTTTCATTCCCACCCCCTGCCACACCACACCACCTCATCATTGCCCTCAGCCTCCCTGGTCAAGCTCACTCTTCAACTTTAAACCTCTGCCGTTGCTGCCCCATGTCTCTGCATGTGACCTAAGACCTTCCCTGGCCGTACTCTCCAGATCTGGCCTCTGTCTTTCCCAGTCTTCCTTCTACATCCTCCTCACAGCCCTGCATCTGTCCACATGTTCCTCTTTCATCTGTTTATCTTCTGCCTAATTACCTCAGGGTCTCAACTTGGGTGGGGAGTCTGGGGGGCGGGTAGAGACCGCATCTGTCTTGCTCACTGCAGCATCCTCAAGCTATAACCATGCCAGAAAGCACCTTTTCTGCTCACCTGGCATTGTAAACAATATATTTCTCTGGCCTACAGCCCCATTGTATTTTGGCATCCATTTTTGTAGGCTGCAATATTAGTCAGGGGAGGCTGAAAGCACTAGAGATGTCTAGAAGCATGGGCTCTCCCTCTTGACCAGACTTTGATTCAAGCAGCCATGTACCAGGAACATTCCCAGCATGCTTCAGTGGAACAGATCTTCCAACGCCTATATTGACTGTCCTGGAACTTCCTGCAGAAGCACGGGTGGCTCTCCCCTGCCAGAAACTTGGTAGCAATTGCTTATTTTGCTGTTTTTCCACACTTTTCAGCTTCACAAACTCATCAAAGTCACTCTTTACTGAACGAACTCAATAAAAGCAATTTCAAAATGAACGTTCAGTTCCCTGTTTTCTTCTTCATTAAGCATTCAAGTTTATTCATTAATATAGGTGTGGAGCATTGGCAAAAGGAAATTGGTGACATTTAAAAAAATTATTACAATAATCATTAGCCAAAAACTTCTCGAGGCTCTCTTTAGGGTGCAGAATGAAACCTCATAATTTATCACCATGATTTGTTGTATTGCTCTACACCCAAAGCAGGAGGAAGCGAGGAGCTGTTTGAAGATAAAGATGGTGAAACTCAGTTACCTCATCTTACAGCATTTACCTTAGGGTAGAAACCAAAATACAAAGTATAATTTAAAAACCACTCCTATGACAGAAATCCTCAATTAGTGGAGCAATTTGTGAAAGGAAACTGAAAGAAGGAACCAAATATGCTGGGTGAGAGGTAGCCTAAAATACTTCTAAATTTTTTTTTTAACTTAAAGACATTCTATGGCAAGCTGTTTCTGTTTTGAGAAGCAATGTCTTGCCGTTGGGAATCTTTGAAATGCCGTTTGGTGTGTTTCATGTCTGTTTTAGAATGGTGTTTGAAAGCAGGCGGCAACTGTTTCTCAGTTTCTGGGTGTTAATGTGCAATTCAGAACCTTTATTCTTAATCAGACTCTGCCTAGGGTTCTCTGTATCCTTGTTCTCAAGTTGGTTTTCCAAACTGGGTTTTACAGTTTACAAGGCCTGAATATATCTCTTGAATTTTGTCTGGCTTCCTTATTTCTTTTCCTCTATATGCTCCTCAACCTGAAACACATTTCTTTTTGTTTAATTTAATAACCACATGATTAGAAGAAGTCTTTCATTGCCGCTTTAACATATTAAGTAACAATTTCCAGAGCAAAGATACATCTCTTCCAAAAGTGGCTGTAAATTTTTAGGTTCACAGTTGAATTAATACACTTATACAATACTGAACTCAGTATAAACCCTGTAAGTCATAAAATTGAATGAGTTTTTAACCTTTAAAATATCTCCATTTCATTTTAAAATATGCTGTTTCCTACATTTTTAATTTTACTAACACTTAGATGTTTGCACATGTGTCTTTAATCTCTGTGTATCTGATTATTAATGGTCACAGTCAGTTACACTCAGATCCTTGGCACCCGAGTATGGATATAAAGTCATCAGGTAGATTTCAATGGTAATGTTTGTATCACCTCTACTAATTAACATGAAGTAAATTTTTATGCTTTTTCCTCAAATATATGCCTTTTTAAAATTTCTTGATTTGTGTGTGTGTGTGAGAGAGAGAGAGAGAGAGAGAGAGAGAGAGAGAGAGAAATACAGAACATCCCCAACAATCTTATTCATCAACACATTTCTTTAGATAGTTCATCCTTTCGTTCAGAGAGGTTCACAGGAGCAAAACCACTAGCATGGGCTCTGTTAGCCACAACTGTCTCTGCCTGGAGGGTCCAGTACCCAAGGCCAGTTGCCTCATTTCCAAACTTTTAGAGGAGATTTTTGGAGTGCTCATCAACTCTTTGTTCTGTGGCTTGCTTGGGGCCCACATGGTTTAGGGCAACTTCCAGAGTCTGCATGCTGCCGTACAGTGATATTCAAAGTGTGCTCATCAAAGGGGAGGTGTGAGGCCCTGCTGGCCTACCAAGCCTCCACACTGTCTTTGCAAGTACTGGCCACACCAGCCTGGTTGTAGAGAGTGACTGTTGAAACTCAGCCTTATTTGAATTCTTCCAGCAGCCCTGTGAGGTTGCCATGGTATGGGGTAAGGGGAGTGGAAGGTCTTGTTCCTAGCAGATGAAAAAACTGAGGTATATAAGTTTCAGCTGATGTCACACTGCTAATACCTGACAGAAGCAGCCCACACCTTGCCATCCACACCACAGAGTGTCTAAGGTGCTACTCATGTGACTGAGTTGTTACTGCTATTTCGGTTATGTTCTCACTCCTTATTTTGGGGTTCTCTCTGCCTGTCGCCCTGTGTTTTATATGCAGGATAGACTATGGACGGGAACACAGGTAGGAGCATGTATTTTTCATATGCTAGCATCTTCCTGTCCTGGGCCAGGCCTGAGCCAGCCCTTCAAGACAAATATGAACCTTTTCTCAGCAAAGTGGGATGGGTACTCATGTTGAGGGCCCTCTGGGCTCAATAGGAGCCCAGCATGGAGAAGCAGCCCTTGCCTCAGAAGTTTCTCAGACTCTGTTTAGTTTTAGGAGATGAACCTTAATCTACTTGGAACTCTATGTGCCAGGTAATTCATTGCAAGATTTAGTCACATTTCTGATCTTTACCCACTATATGTAGCACCCTCTTCTTCAAGTTGTGATGACCCCAAAATATCTCTAGACATTAGAGAAAAGCAACATTTACAAGGTTCATTTATGTCAGCTTCAGAAGCTCAAACTAACTTGCCTTCAAGGCCAGTATCAATTCCTTCCGGTCTTCTCTTTGGGAGTATTGCCTGGCTGCCATTTAGGGATCACATGCCTACTCCTGGGCATCCATAGGTATCTGTCCTAGGCAAAGGGAGGGTTTCATATTGTAAACAACCATCTGCCTGCTCTAACCCAGCTGGAGTGTGGACCCAAGGGCAGGAGCCTTATTTTACTGTTAGGATCACTGGATTCCCCACAGGGTCAGGCTGATTCACAAGCTAAAGTAGATTAGTTCTGATTGAACAAAAACTGACACTTTACCAGTAGATATTTTGTGATAGTTTGGGGTTTCCTCTCAGGGAAACACGATCTGAGTGCAGGGTTAAAGTGAGATGGCAGGACTTTTGTCCATTCACTGCCCCCACCTGAAAGATTTGGCCAGATACATAAACTGTGAAGAAACAGTGCAAAGAAAAAAAAAGAAAAAAAATCAATGAAGATAGTAGATATTTGCAGGGGCTTACAAGAAAAAACTGTAGCTTGAAAGTTTTCTAATTTAATGTCTTTCACCACCAGGATGCGACAGTCTACCATGCTGCTCCACCATGACTGTGTGTCCGTGTTTTAGCCCCCACACACAGTATCTGTGGTAGTGACAACAGCAAACCTGCTTTTGGATATTGGCTGCCTCGAGAGTTGATAGCTGGCATGTCACAGAGACCACCCAGCATGTACTGGTGTGTGGGGCCAGAGGGATCTACCGAGTGTCCAGGAGGCGCCATGGAGACCCATAATGGTAAGTATGGGACTGAGCAGGGTCTGTCATGCTTACCATGTAAAGAGTTTAGGCTTACTAAGAAAAAGTATTTTCAACCGAAAGAAATAAAATGACAATTTATTTGATGCTTTTTTATCATAGAAAATATATTTTGGGATTCGCATTTAAAATCTAAAAATTGAGACGCCAGTGTGACAAAATTTACTGTGGTCTCGAGCTTAAAAGTGGAACATCATGTCATGTTGATTAATGGACTTTTTAAAAATGGGAATTCAATCTTGTTTTTTACATTATAAAAGTAATGCTTGTTTATTAAAGAAAAATTGAGAAGAGAAAAAGAGAAGTAGAAAAAGATCACCCAGAGTCCTACTACCCCACCACCAGCACAGCTGATTTCCCGCCTTCTCCTTTCCGTCTGTAATTAGGGAAGTCTACTGTATTTAAAAGGTTGATGCTGTCTTCTCCTAGCCTTTTGCTCGTGGCGTTTACTTAAGTTACTATGTGATTCCTGTGATTAAGTGAAACACCATTTCATATGATAGCATTACATAAAATTACTGATCAAATCCCCAATTTCCTTTTGGACATTTATGTTGCATCTAATTGTTTACTCTTTCCAAAAGCATTCCATTTATATATTTTACACAGTTTCCACAAAACAGATCTATAAAAGTCAGATTATAGCCTGGCATGGTGGCACACGCCTTTAGTCCCAGCACTCGGGAGCCAGAGGCAGGCAGAACTCTGTGAGTTCGAGGCCAGCCTGGTCTCCATAGTGAATCCAGGCCAGCTGGGACTACAGGGAGATCCTGTCTCAAAAAGAAGAACAACACCACCAAAAAAGTCAGATTATTGGGTTTGGACATCTTAAAGATGTTCCATGAGAGTTGTGCCACTTTTAATACTGATAGAATATTATTGATATTGATACAATATTTGTCTCTTAGTACATATAAGACTCTGGTACTTTACCAAATTCATTAAATCCTCACAACAATCCGTGAAAATAATGCATTTTTTAATTTACTTACGTGTGTGTGTGTGTGTGTGTGTGTGTGTGTGTGTGTGTGTGTTTGGTGTTAGGGATCAAACCCAGAGCTGCATATGCTAGACAAACTCTACCTCTGAGCTTATGCCCCATCTGAAAACAGCACTGTTATATGGGTGAAATGGGGATTTGAGGATAAAAGAAGTCAAGAAGCAAGGCACAGTAGCATATACCTTTAATCTAGCACCCAGGAGGCAGAGGCGGACTGATCTCTATGAGATTGAAGCCAACCTGGTCTACATAGGTGTTCCAAGCCAGCTGGGGCTACAGGGAGACTCTGTCTCCAATCATAGCACTGCATCTGAAATCTGCCAGCCCCAGAATGCTTGCTCTTAAATGATAAGCCATCTTGTAGGCTTTGAGAGGGCCCACATGTTGTTTTGAGAAGATCCAGCTGTTGGTTTCTGAGCGGGCCCACGTGTTGAGTAGGAGGGCGTATATCTTTGCATCCTCAACGATATCAATGATTGAGCACAAGTCAGCAGACATTTTATTCAGCTTCTTGTTTTTTCTCCATCTCAAATGTCCAGAAGGATAACCAGATTCATGTTTCTGGAAGGTTTCTTTGCACACAAATCAAATTAAGAATTTTCTTTTTGGCATTTCCCAGCACCAAATGTTCCCAGAGTGTTGGACTTGTATCTTTTAAATTTTTCTCTTTCTTTTGTTCTCCAGAAGTACATCTTTCTTTGGTGGCTTTGTGAGTGAGACCAAGATGACATGGGCAGTAGAATGCCATCCTCTACTGAGGAGAGCATCTCTGCATCTCCAATGAACTTTAGCTCCATCACCCCACCTGCTACTCCTTTTAGTTGTCCTGAAGATGAAAGTCAGGAATACCTACGAAAGTAGGATATTTGGTCCATTGGAGCTTGCTGGGTAGGTGATTGTGGCATCTGAAAAGCCCTGTACGTGACTCTGCTCCCACCCCGTTTCCGGTCAGGACTTTGTGGTCTTAGTGCATGTTTCTCCACCTTTGCCTACAGAACCTCTGAGGGGCTTCTCAAACTACCAACAGCCAGAAACCATCAAGGCCCCATAGGACAAGCATCCTTGTGGGAAGAGACAGGCATAGACAGGTTTCAGAGGCTCCCTCATGCCTCTAATACGCATCTGGGTTTGAAAATCAATCCACAAGTCTAAGTGGTTCAAGTCCCATGAGGCAATACTTCTGGAATTGTAGTGTCCATGTGTTCTCTGGTGATCTTGACAAAATGAAGAGTCTGGGCCAGTGAGATGGCTCAGCAGTTAAGGGTTCTGGCCAAGCCTGATGACTTCAGTTCTATCCACAGGACCTACCTAATAGAAAGGCCTGACTCCTAAAAGTTGTTCTCTGATCTCCACAAGAACACACACAGACACAACACATACCACCACCACCAACAACAACAACAACAATGCAGAATCTCATTTGGCTGGAGTGAGCATGGGGACCTGCATTTCTGAAGGGCTCCCAGTGCTAAAAAGTAGAAAGGCTAGCATGATGCTTTCCAAGGTTCCCAGAAATTCTCCATCATCTATTATAATTCCAAAGAACTTGGGCAAGATAGGTACCATACAAACCTGGAACCAACCCTCCCTCTGTGCCTGTGATAGGACAGATACCCAGATAACATTCATGTATATCGATCTTCCTTAGGCCTTCGTTTTTTCCCCTGAAAGTCTGAGTCTGAGCTTTATTCTGTTCCTCAGTTGGCCTCCTCTCCCTGATTGCTGTCAACAGGGGCTCAGAAGACTTCTGGCCTCAGGGACCTCTTTTCTACAGTGGAAATCTCAGGCCTACTGTATCTCTATTCTGAATAACATAAGGAAACACATGAAGTCAGGAAGACTTAGGCAATTTCTACTAGGTACTGTTATAAGTGCCTGGGGTTGGGCACAAGACAGACAAGTGGTAATCTGAGAACCCCTGAAGTCAAGGAAGTTGTCTACCAGGGACACAAATGCCTAAGCCACAGAGTTGGAAAGGAAAGTAGCTATACTTCATTGGGAAATTTGGTCCCACACTCAGCATGGAGGAAGTTTGGCTATATGTTAAAGAATTAAAATAGTAAGGAAGCTGTAAAAAAAAAAAAAAAACTGCGTTTAACTTACACCTGTACCCTTCCAGTTTAACGGTCTTACCGGTGGTTGAACCACAGCCCATATAAAAAATTAAAAAAATAAGGAAACTGTAAAAAAAAAAAAAAAACTGCGTTTAACTTACACCTGTACTCTGCCAGTTTAAAGGTCTTACAGGTGGTTACAGCAGAGCTAATAACTAAGCCTGAGAGCCTCACCCCCAGAGTTAGCCAGCTAGCAGAATTTATTAATTTCAAGGACTATCCTCCCAGACTCTGCAGAGTCTAATTTTAAAACTTCACTTGGTAGGTTTCGTTTTCACAGAATATAAATACTAGATGTTCTTAAGTTATGGTGGGGTTATGTCCTAATTCAAATGTGCATTGAGCCTGCCTAAATTCACCTAACAACAAAGCTTAGCGTTTTCTATCTAAGCACTGTCAGAGCACCTGCATTTGCCCAAGATGGGCCAAATCATCTAACACAGAGCCTATTTTGTAATAAAGTGCTGAGCGTGTCATGCAATTTATTGAATACTGTACTAAAAGTGAAAAACACAAAGGTTATATGCATATACTGTTTCACCATTATAAAGTAAAAAAATAATTGTAAGTGAAAACTATTGTAAGTCAGGGACCATCTGTATACATTAAGACAGTGGCCAGGGGCCAAGAAATGCTCAAAGGGTAGTGTATCTGAATTGAGATTATGGACACTGTACTTTATCTGTAGTCTTTATGATTTCTGCAATGAACACATCACTTGTTTTGCATTACTTTTATAAAACAGAAGAATAATTACTTTTGCATCAGAAGAATAGTTTTCCAAGTTGTTTGTTATTGTTTGGCTGCTTGGAGAGCAAACTCAGAGCCCACTCTACCCCTGAGCTACAACCCTAGCCTAGCAAGTTGCTTTTTAATTACTGTTTCTTTAAGCAGTTATATTTCATGATTAGAATCTACCTTGGACACCTGTGGCTCACTTGTTCTTTACTGCCCTCTTTTTCCTTAATGTCTTTCTGGAACAAACAGAGGAGTATTAGGCTCAATTCACCTGCGGCTGAGCCCGCTGTAGGGTCTACCTTGGGTTTCAGGGTATCCCCTGAAATGGGTTGTTCCTGCCTACCTTCTCCCCAACCCTCTAGAGATCAAGGAGAGATGTACATAGGGGCAGCACTCCATCTTTTTAAAGTCCCTAGAATATGGACTATTTTTAAATGACCAAATTCTTATTATACTGGCCAGAATGGCTTTGAAAAAGACCTAGACTTTAATAAAACATACATTTTTTAAAACTCCTAGGCTTTAGGGGTCATGGTATTTTATATCTTGTATTTGTGTGGTAGGTATGTTTTTGCACACCCCTGTCTGTTTTGACTTGCATACCCTCACGTTGTGCATGTTTAGGACAGTTCAGAGTCCAGGCATGTGACTTCTTGGCAGATGGTCTGTGTGCCCACCAAGGGTCTTTGCAGCACAATGTGTGCCAGGAAGGCTTGCGATACCTTAGTCTCATAAGTATATCAGAGATGAGCTTCTGAAAGCCAGGAGGAATGCTTAGAAAGGCTTGATGGGTTTCAAAGGTACCAATTGACAGGAGGGTCAGTGAGCTGTTTACTAGACCAGGGTTGCTGGAAAAACTCCTTTCACAAACATGTCATTAGACATTTTTCTGTGAGTCTGACACCACCCAGAGTGGAAAAACCAGCTCTGCCGGTTGAGGCAAGGCACCTGGGAAAGTAGACCAGCTAGGAAACTTCTACATAATTCAGATTCTCCTGGATTGCTGAAGGTGGGGGTGCTAGAGGGACCCCACCTTTGTGTTAAGGGTCCTAGCCCCAGCCCTGAAAAGCCTGGCCCAGCTGCTGGCCCCTCAAAGCATCACTCATTGCCAGACCCAGAATGGACCA